CTCTCTGTCGCGCTTGCTTGCCTCCCCCCTCTCTCACGCTCACATGCCCCCCCCCTTCACACTCACTCGCCCCCTCCCGCTCTCTCTCTCACTTGCTCACCCTCCACCCCGTGCTTACTCTCACCCTCGCCTGCATTCTCTCTCTCTCTCTCTCTCTCTCGGCAGAGTTTGAACGAGAGTGAATCGGAGGAGGTGTTCCAGACGATGATTAACCCCAATGAGGTTCTGAGCAGCTCAGTGAACACAATCGAAGGAGCGTCAGAGACTGACAGTGGGATTTCAGATGACCACCGTCCAGAGAGCCCCCAGCCGAGTGAGTCGGGGCCTGATCCTGGGGCAGGGCCCAGTGGACTCTGTCAGCTTGTGTATGGAGTCAGCAACATCAAATCCCAGAGAGCAGCCAGCAACACCGACCTCGTCTCCGTTGAGCTCGGTCAGTGACCCTGGGGCTGGGGCTGGGGCTGGGGCAGGGCCAGGGAGCCTAGGTCAAGGGGGGTCAGGGATCAGTGGGGGGGGGGGGGGGGGGGGGGGGGACGGTGTGCGCGCTGCGCGCGCCGCGGTGTCAGGAATCCTAGATGTGGAAGGGTCAGTGTGTGGGGGTTTGTGTGTGGATGTGTTACTGGGTGCGTGTCGTTCTGTGAACATGGTGCATTATCTGACTCTGTGACTAGCTCCTTGCAGCATTGGCTCTGACACCACCTCAAAGGAAGATTCCTCCCCCTGGGTGAAGTACGGATGAGAATCACTAAGGCAGGGGCTGCAGTAACTGTGTTGTGTTGTCTTACAGGGGGCTGGAATACCACAGTGATCGTTCCAGAGGCCTGTGTTGTGGATACTGCCCCTGGCTCCGTGAAGAGGACACTCAGTGTGACAGACAGTGACAGTGAAGTCACTGACTGCCTCATAGGGGTAGGTAGGAGAAGGTGCAGAAAAGCAGATACAACCCAAAACACACAGTGCCAACACAACCATCAGACAGCCTGCCTAACAGTCAGCAACACACCCACCCACACCACCCACTGCTCAATACGGCAGAGAGAGAGGGACCTATACCCCACTGACGGTCAGCACCTTCGGGAGAGGAGGGAGACCCCGTACCCCAGTGAGAGTCAGCACCTTCAGGAGAGGAGGGGGACCCCGTATCCCAGTGAGGGTCAGCACCTTCGGGAGAGGAGGGAGACCTCGTAACCCAGTGAGAGTCAGCACCTTGAGGAGAGGAGGGAGACCTCGTAACCCAGTGAGAGTCAGCACCTTCAGGAGAGGAGGGGGACCCCGTACCCCAGTGAGGGTCAGCACCTTCAGGAGAGGAGGGGGACCCCGTATCCCAGTGAGGGTCAGCACCTTCGGGAGAGGAGGGAGACCTCGTAACCCAGTGAGAGTCAGCACCTTGAGGAGAGGAGGGAGACCTCGTAACCCAGTGAGAGTCAGCACCTTCAGGAGAGGAGGGGGACCCCGTACCC